ACTGGGACCGACTCTTAATTTCGCGTCATGAGGTCGAAGAGGGCAGTGTTGCACTTGGTCACGTCGTCCTTCATCAACGGATCGACGGGCATGCGGTTCTGCGGCACCCACCGCACCTGACCTCGGGCACGCTCGAGACTCGCATATGAGTGCCAGATCCAGAGCAGTCCTGCGGTCTCTGGCAGCAGCGTTTCCCTCCTTGCGCATGTTGTCGTAGATCGACTTGGCGCCGACGACATTCACCTGACGCTCTCTGCTTCCGAGTGAGCAGTCTCCTTTCAGCACTGTAGTGGAGGGTCCGGCCGCCTGGCGACAGTTGGGCACGTCAACATCTCTGAACACCGCATCTCGGTACATCACCTGCAAACGCTCGACCTCTGCCACAGCGGCGGACAGCGCTAAGGTTTCTCCTGCTTAATTATGTCGACCGAACCTTGCGCCTCAGTTTAGACTCCTCCTCCAGCCAAGCATCGAGGCTCGGACCGCTCGATTGTCAGTGATGGCCTGGTCGGTTGCCAGAACCATACAGGCGCCTTGGGTTCGGTCCTGAGGAATGCCCCGGTCGTCGTCGAGGCTCTCGCTGGCATCCACAACGCCCGCGCCTGAGAAGGATTTGAAAGCCACGGTCTGGGTCGATGCTTCAGATGATGGGGCCGCGAGAGGCTGTGGCGCGGAGGTGCCTCGCCAGCTTGTTGGCGATCATCACGTCGCCCGTAGTAGTTGATTGTAGACGGCTGGCCAAGATGCTGGCTATGCCAGCGGCCTTTGGTCGAGCCTCACGGCCAACCCAGACACCAGTGACCGCAAAGCCTTGAACTCGGCCGCTTCGAGGGGCGAGTCCTTCCAAGAGAGACGGCGGCCTTTCGCCATAGGCAGGGGCTTGACTTCTTCTGGAATGTGTTTCTCCATGTCGATGATGGCTCGAGAGGCACTCATGGTCACGCGGCGCCCGACGAAGTCGATTGGACCAGCATTGCAATCACGACGCTTGCCAAACTTAAACCTGGCCTCCCAGCGTGTTCCTGAGATCCGTCCGAGCTTCGGTCCCAGCACTGGCAATACACAGATCGTCCAAATCCACTAGCATCATGTTAGTGATGTGTCCATGGTCATCGTACTTTATTTCCACGAACAAGGCTCGAACAATGACCTCACGAAACCGTGCTGACCGATGTGTTTGACTACCGTTCGCCTCCATGCCATGGGCGCGCCATCTAGGCCGCACACATTGAGTAATAGTCATATGAGGGAGCCGCCAGGAATATTGATGCCCTCACATGCCTCGACGAACATCTCCCCTTAGGTGCGCTGCATCCTCTCCGACTGGCAGATGGCGTTCTTGACATCGGCGATATCACATTGCGTCTTGATATTCATGGACCCCTGCAAGAATAGCATGATTGAAGTGGTCTGGGGTGTCAGAGCATATACCTCCAGGGCACCAGAGTCTGGGTTTTTGTGCCCATGGACACCAACGGTTCTTGGCATTGGGATCGGAAAACGTACCCTCGCGCGGTTTCCATCTTCGCACCATCTTGCTGGAGATAATTTGGTCGGACTGCACCTCCCGAGTCACTATAGCATGGCCTGGAGGGATGACTTCTACAGCTCCGGAGCCCAGCATGGCTTCCCACTCTTTTTGATCTGACAGCTCGAAATTAATCCGATCACTGGGCGAGAGACGTCCCAGTGGTACCTCCCCGCCTTTGCTAGCAGCGAAAGGTCCCAGGAGCCGTCACCATCATTCTGCCATGTACCCCGACGGACCCGATCATCTCCTGCTGCTTCACCGCTTGCCTGGCCTCGGTCGTCACGTGCCATGCTTCCAGGGATCGTCGTTGGTCTCCCAAACATCGTCGTCATGGCCCCTGGCGGCCGGGGAGGAGCCCCTGGACCCGATAGTCTCGCAGACTATGTTGCGCATCATCTCTCTCGGCTCCTCCGCCGCCGTGCAAGAGGTTGCAGCTGCCAGGCCAGGAAGCGTCGCCGCTGCGCCAGCCGTGGCTGCCGCTGCCGCGTCGCCGCCTGGGGTCTCGGCCGGGCCTGCTGCTGTGCCGCTCGCTGGAGCAGCACCTCGAGCGGCCGCCAAGCCAGCCCCTGGGGTCGCAGCTGTGTCGTCGCCTCCATCGGCGTACATGCCCGTCTCTGCTGTCTTCGCCTCCGCAGGCATGACAGTTACCATGGATCCAACGCCGGCCTTGTGGTGTCGGGTGGGGCTCGCCAGAGGCGCGCAAGCGCGAGACACCGCCGCCTCTGCCGGCGCCAGCGCCCATTGCCACCTGGCAATCCCCGCTCCGCTACTAACTGTGGCAGCCAGCATATGTTTTTTGCCTTGAGCCAGAGTGCAAAACGGACATGCACTCTGTGCCGAATGTTTCTGATTGCTAAACCTACGGAACGAAAACGGGAGTGCTGCAACAGCATCCGCGACAACCCACGAGCAGAGGAGATAACAGTCTCGCGAACTCCCGCAGCCCCGCAAGTGGAACAGTCACCCACCGCCGAGCGAGAGCTAGGCGGTAGGGAAGGCGAAGAGACATATGATGGAGGCCCGAAGAGGTCAGAGCGCGTCCTGGGGGTGGACATTACGGGGGCCCTGGGGTTGCAACGACATCGCGCCCAGGAGCTACAGTAGGAAACGGAGGCCTCGGCAGAGATAGTGGGCCGCCCAGAGGGGCGGGTGTGGGTGCCTAAATGACGCCCATGGGCCAAGCCAATGAAACACAGGAAGGGTAAGGAGAAGGGGCTCACCGCCTTACTAGTGCCGACGGCTGGTCGAGCGGCCTCCGCGGTCAGCGAAGTAGAGGGGGAGTCGGGGGAGACCGGGGGAGTGGCCGACGTGCCGAGAGGAGGCTCGCTGTGAGGCGAGCGAGAAGGCGCGCATGGTCTTGCAGCGGGCCTGGGCGCGCCTGAGGACGGCGGCTCCACTGGCCCTGGCGCCTTAATCGGTACGCCGCCGCTTAGCGGCGGGTTGCTCCGAGCCGTCGCAGGGGAGCCCTGCTCGTTTAGGATGAGCGTGGGGATTCTTGACGCATGCCAGGTCGTTGCCGTTGTTCAGGAGGCATTTCTATAGGATGGCGATCCAAACACCATGGCGAGTCTGCATCTCCTCCTGTGTCCAGTCCCGCACGCGCGCGAGGAGGGCCGCGTGCTGGTCAGGGCTTGCGCCATTGGGACCTTGTGGGTAGTCGCCCAGACCCTGCGCGAGGAGCCTGAGCCCAGTCGCTGCGTTCATCGAGTGACGGGCGCCAAACGGACCCAGCCTCGCCAGTGGCTCAACTAGCCGAAAGGTCCTCTTCTGACCACTGCCGGCCCTGGGCCCAGAGGCATTGACGAAAGGTGAGCGTGATGATTGCCGTGGTGTCCTGACTGGGGCGAGCGCCCGCGCCCGCGTTGGGGAGGCCCCGGATGGCCGCAGCGCACAGACACAGGCACAGACACAGACACAGACAGACACACACACACACACGCACACACACACACACGCACGCACACACACACACACACACACACACACACACACACACACACGCGCACACACACACGCGCACACGCGCACACGCGCACACGCGCACACGCGCACACGCACACACGCACACACGCACACACGCACACACGCACACACCACACACGCACACGCACACGCGCACACGCGCACACGCGCACACGCGCACACGCGCACACGCGCACACGCGCACACGCACACGCACACACACACACGCACACACACACACGCAGACACGCCCACTCGCCCACACGCGCACACGCGCACACGCGCACACGCGCACACGCGCACACGCGCACATGCGCACACGCGCACACGCGCACACGCGCACACGCGCACACGCGCACGCGCGCACGCGCACACGCACACGCACACGCACACGCACACGCACACACACACACACGTGGAAACACAGACACAGACACACACACACACACAACAAACAACTCCCCACGCCCACACGCACGCACGAGCACACACATCCACACACATCCACACACACACACACATACACACGCACGCACGATAAGACACATTCGCAAGCACAAGCACACACACACACACACACACATGCGCGCCCACCGTTGACTAGAACCACCGCACCCTAGAGAGGTTGGGTTGTCTGGTCAGGGCAGGGGTCCGTTCCAAGAGCAGGGCGTGGCTGTGTTCAATATGCACCCTGTCTAGCCCGCCTGGAGCTGCTCTGGGGGCCTCCGTCTCCGACTAACTGTTGACTGCACCTGGCCCCCCTGAGACTCTGGCCCGCCAGGCTACTGCCTCAATTTCCCAGTCTCGGGAAGGGCTTTCCCGCATCACCGAGGGGCGGCTTCGGAGCGTGTTGGCGGTCTCGGATGGCATTTTGGCACACTAGGGCTCGTGTGGCCTGTTCAAGTCCCCCCTCTGGAGGCCGAGAACATTGGAACCATCCAGTGTTTCATGTGTTCTTGGCTCCTGGAAAAGTTACGCGAATACTCGAGAGTGCCCGACAACGCCCGTGAATAGTGGCCCTGTGCCCCTCAAGGATCGTTTACAGTATTCAATGCAGAGCGCGAAGAAACCCAGGGACATTCTACTTTTTGCTTCCCAGCACGGTGGCGGATTTTTGCAATGCCAGCAACCGATCACCAACGGAAAGTGGGCAACCTCCTGCTTCGAGCAGGGTGAGGCCGTGCCGAAAAGGATCCCCTGGATGGGTTTGAGCTGGCGCGCTCAACGCTTCGGGTTGGCGTTCTTCGACATCGTCGAAGCTGAAATCCTTCAAATATCCTCCTTTCCCTCGCCTTGCTCCTCTTCCTTCCTCCTCCCTTCTCTGGGGTCCTTCGTTGTCGCCCGCCTCCTGCTCCCCGTCCTCTTTATTCCCAACCATCCTATGGTGTTGGGTCCTCGTTTTGAAGAGACAGCGCCGCGCGTCCCTCCTCCTTCTCCCCTCATCCCTCCCTCCTCCCATCATCAGCATCATCATCATCAGCAGCAGCAGCATCAAAGGCCGCCGCGAGCTCGAGCCTTCGGAGGCGCAGCGGCCTCAGAGGACGCGCCCCCCCTTGCTCACGCAGCATGCAGAGGGCCTAGCACCCCACCCGCGCAGGGCGATGTGCACCGGCGCGTGTGCTCTGCACGCCGTACCGTGTCGAGCCCGACGTGAAGAAAGGCAATCATCCTACGAGCAGCTCGACAAGTGCCTCAAGCTGACCGCAAGCGAAGACTCCACCAATCGCACCAAGGTCGCGGATCTCATGCGCTACTACACCTCGAAGACCAGCGATGTGACGGTCAGCCTGCAGGAGCACGTCAACTGCAATAAGGATGGGCCGAATGACATCTACTGCATCACGGGGGACGACAAGCAGTTAAAGGAGTTCGACGGCAAGAGGATCAAAGCGACGACCAAGACGGCCTCGCAGGATTACTGGCAAGCCAACATGGAACGCAACGATTCCGAGAATGAGGAGAGGAAAAGTACCTACCCGACGGCCTCGTTCGACCGCAACATCACGAACAACCGCGCCATGATGTGCACCGTGTTGATCCTCAGAATCGGGAACAACCAGGGGATGGGTGACGTCGGCTACGACAAGATCTACGACATCTACGTCCCGCCGCAGCACCTGCGCCTGTCCGATGGGCCTAGCCTGGTGGTCGACACCATCATCAAACCGAACATCTCCCGCGAGACGCTGCAGCAGAACAAGATCTTGCGAGCGACCAAGAAGAATATCGTCAAGAAGTGCCTCGAGATGTTTGTGGAGACCGCCGAGAAGAAGGACGACTACAAGAAGTTTCACGAGCAGTTCGGCAAGTGCCTCAAGCTTGGCGTGCACGAAGATTCCACCAACCGTACCAAGGTCGCGGAGCTTATGCGCTACCACACCTCGAAATCTGGAGATGAGATGATCAGCCTGAAGGAGTATTTGGTCCGCATGAAGGAGGGGCAGAACGACATTTACCACATTACGGGGAAGAGCATCGCAGCGGCGTCGTCCTCGCCTTTCCTGGAAACGCTGCGCAAGAAGGGTCTTGAGGTCCTCTACATGACCGATTCCATTGATGAGTACTCCGTGCAGCAGCTGAAGGCGTTCGACGGCAAGAAGTTCAACTCGACGACCAAGGAAGGTTTGGACCTCGAGGACGAGGGCGAGAACGAGAAGAAGAAACTGGAGCTGAAGGCGGAGTTCGAGCCGCTGACGAAGCTGATGAAGGAGGTGCTGGGCGACAAGGCGGAGAAGGTGGTTGCCAGTTCGCGCATGGCGGACTCGCCCTGCGCGTTGACCACGCACGGCCTGCAGCCGAAGCCTTTCGTCGAGGCCTGCTATGGCTGCTGGCAGGACGGCGACTTCATAAAGAACGACGAGCCCCTGAGCAACGTTCTGCCAGATGAACTGGTACTCCATGCACTCCTACATGGCGTCCAACCTGCCCCCCCTTTAAGAGAGCGCGGGCGCCGCCAACGAGGCGTCTCAGATGGCGAAACGTCGACTCGGACTGAGATGCTGTCTCTTTCTTTTCTGATGCACCCTCTGAGCCACGGCCATATTTGCATCCTTTTTTACGTTAAGTGACTCGGGCACCCGCTCGCCTGCGTGTAATGACTTACTTGCAGGCTAGATGCACGGTCTCCGGCTGTGCGTCGATGCCCCCCGAGTGCAATCGCCCCACGCGGGTTTATCGGGGCATGACTCTGTTATGCTCTCTGCGACGGATCTTCATACTTGGTCCTGACTTCGAGGAAGCAGCATCATCATCACCATCAGCAGCAGCAGCATCATCATCATCGTCGCCATCGTCATCGTCATCGTCATTGTCGTCGTCATCATCACCCCTCACACGGATCGTGGCCCAACAGGGAGTTCCATATGAGGTCCCAGTGGCTCAGTCCGCATGGCGGCGCCGCCCTATTTTGGCACACCCCTCGCACGCTTCGTGGCCACATCGGGAGTTCCACCTAAGGTCTGAGATGCGCAGTCCGCATGGCGCGCCGCCCGATTTTGGAGCACCCCTCACATGTTTCGTGGCCCTATAGGGAGCTCCACCTGGGGTCCCAGTGGCTCAGTCCGCATGGCAACGCCACTCCATTTCGGCGCGCCCCTCACACGTTTCGTGGCCCCATCGGGCGTTCCACCTAAGGTCCCAGTGGCGCAGTCCGCATGGCGGCGCCGCCCGATTTTGGCACACCCCTCACACAATTCGTGGCCACATCGGGAGCTCCACCTACGGACCCACAAGCGCAGTCCGCATGGCGGCGCTGCCCTATTTTGGCACACCCCTCACACGCTTCGTGGCCCCATCGTATGCTCCACCCAAGGTCCCCGTGGCGCCGTCCGCATGGCGGCGCCGCTCGATTTCGGCACCCCCCCCGCACGCTTCGTGGCCCCATCGGGAGCTCCATCTACGGTCCCAGTGGCGCAGTCCGCATGGCGGCTACTCCACCGATGACCCCAGTGGTTACGCTCGCATGCGCCCACCACGCTTGCTGCGGCACACCCCTCACGCACTTCGTGGCCACATAGGGAATTCCACCGACGGCCCCAGTGGCTGCTTTCGCATACCCCTCACACGTTCCGTGGCCCTAGAAGGAGCTCCTCCGAATGCGATGCATACAACGGCGGTGCTCACAATTACATATGGTTGGGTCTTTCGCCAGGCTAGTGTGTTTTTCCTTCTCCATCCTCCTCCCTCTCCCCCATCCCTCCCTGCCCCCTCTCCCTCCCCCCCTCCCCCCAGGCTGGGCTGCGCTGGCCCTTCGTGCCCTGCAATGGTGCAAGGACGGCGCCGCCTCGACCGCTCGTTCCCTGGCCCACTCTGCGCGCCATGGAGAGCAGATGATGAGAGAACGAGAAAAAGAACGGGAGAAAGAGAGAGAGAGAGAGAGTGAGAGAGAGAGGTAGTGATACACATATACCTTTGCATATTTACACAGAGAGACATACCGAGAGAGAGAGCAGAGGGTCGAAAAGAAGGGAGAGGGGGGGAGGGACAAGCGAGGTGCTCTCGCATCAGATCTGACGTCCTACCCTCCCTCCCGTCCCTTAACCACTTCGTAGATCCCCGCTTTATTCGCCCAATCCGATGTCGACGAGGACAACAATTCCCACATACTTCGCGACGCATCGCATGGCATTGCATGGCAACGCACGGGGCAGGCGAGCACGGCAGAGCGTGGCATGGCATAGCTTGGTGTGGCGTTGCGTATCCAACCATCGCATAATATAGCTTTGCAGCGCACGTCATGGCATCACATAGTGCCACATAATATGGCATCGCACGTCATGCCATGGCATGGTACGAGACAGACGAGCATGGTATGGAATTGTGTAGCACAGAAGTGTATAGTGCACTACTGCAGTTACTACTACTACCTCTACTACTACTACTACTACTACTACTACGACTACGAGTACTACTACTACTACTACTACTACTACTACTACTACTCCTACTCCTACTCCTACTCCTCCTCCTCCTCCTCCTCCTACTACTACTACTACTACTACTACTACTACTACTACTACTACTACTACTACTACTACTACTACTACTACTACTACTACTACTACTACTACTACTACTACTACTACTACTACTACTACTACTACTACTACTACTACTACTAGTACTACTACTACTACTACTACTACTACTACTACTACTACTACTACTACTATTACTACTACTACTACTACTACTACTACTACTACTACTATTACTACTACTACTACTACTACTACTACTACTACTACTACTACTACTGTGATCTCTACTACTACTACTACTACTACTACTACTACTACTACTACTACTACTACTACTACTACTACTACTACTACTACTACTACTACTACTACTACTACTACTACTACTACTACTACTACTACTACTACTACTACTACTACTACTACTACTACTACTACTACTAGACTACTACTACTACTACTACTACTACTACTACTACTACTACTACTACTACTACTACTACTACTACTACTACTACTACTACTACTACTACTACTACTACTACTACTACTACTACTACTACTACTACTACTACTACTACTACTACTACTACTACTACTACTACTACTACTACTACTACTACTACTACGACTGCCACTACTGCGGACGGAACTTGAAGTACTACGGCTGATAGAATTGTGTCTGCTACTACTACCAACACATCCGACCAATCCTGCTATTCTTACCACAACGACTGCGTCCATTAGTGCTACTATTATTGCTGTCATGACTTGTATTATTACTTCTATGCCCCACATCCAAAATGGGGTTATTGCTTTCTCTCACAGCCTCCGTGCCGGAACCTCACCTCCCTCCCACTCTCCGCCGCTCTCACGCATTCACCCCGTCACTGGTCATCATCACCATCGGTCAACATCATCACCACCACCATCATCATATTCAGTCACTCACCATATATCACCGTCGGCCATATATCATCATCAGCATCATCAGCATCACCAGCACTGGCACCACCATCATCATATTAAGTCGCACATCTCTCACACACACACACACATTCTCTCTCACCCAGCACACCGCCACAGCATCATCCTCTTCCTCTTCATCATCGTCATCATCACCAATCATTACCATCATGGGTTTCGTTCGTGAGTGATGTGTGAGGAAGTTTCGGGCGGGAGCCCCCTCCCTATGGGGCCTGCACTTCATGTTGGTAAGGTGGAGGAAGTATCAGGCGGGAACCTCGTCTGTGAGTGATTTGTGGTACTGCACCTCGATGGCGTAGAAATCCGTACACACCTGGGACACCGCGCGCTGCAAAGCCCCCCTGCTTGGCAGACCAGTCCGCCCACAGGTTGCCCGCGTACAGCACTGGGTGAAGCCCCGCCGCCAGGCGCCCGTCGACGTCCTGGTGGGCGGGGGCACAGGACACCTCGGGGCGGCATGGCTGCTGCCGCAGGTGCCTCCGCACCGTGGCGTGCACCGACTTGGCCAGCGCCAGCAGGTCAGTGGCCACGAACCGCGCCTGCTGCCCCAGGAGCTTGGTGACCTGCAGGAACGCGTGTCGCTCGGCGCGACCCACCGTCTGCAGGCGGCCAGGAAGGGCCCCGAAGGCCGCGCGAACGGGCTCCCTGTTGGAGCCGAGCTGGACCAGCGACCACCCGCAGCGCCTCAGCTCGGGCATGCTGCTCGCGAGGCCCGAGCCATCGGTGAACGCAATGCTTCCGCGCTGCTCGTCGCTCGTGCCGCTCCAGTCACCCCAGAGCCTGATCTCCGCCTCGTCGGCCGCAGGCGGCACGCGCGGCGGCAGCACGGGTAGCCCGACCTCATGCTCGAACCCGCTGAAGTCCGCGACCCCCACGCCGCCTGCCTGCAGGCCGTTGTCGCGCATGGTAGTCCATATCTGCTGCAGTAGGTCAGGGGAGACGCCCTGGTCGACCGACGGCTTATTCGCAACGACACATGCCGTGCCAAGCTCGCTGCCTCCAGGGGGGCTAGCCCGGCGTGCGCGCAGCAGGGCCTCGCAGTCGTACAGCCTGTGACCAAGGGTGTCCGTTTCCGCTCCGCACGCCAGACAGCTGCCATCGGGGGCGACCCCAACGTCTAGCTGCCCCTGCCTGGTCTACGGCGTGCCTGCCCAGTGGATCTGGAGGCTGGTGGCTGCAGGCCCTTCGGCAACAGCGGCGCTTTTGCCGCCCGCGCGCAGCCTCAGGCCCCGCGTCCAGATCGGCCCCGTGGGCTGCGCGCCGCCGAAGTGGCCCAGGATCCGTCGCCCTTGCCAGCGGCTGACCCCCTCGACGAGGTAAGCCTTGAGGTCGGACGGCGAGGTGGCGAGCAGGTGGATGTGCTGCTCCTCGTCAGTGACCAGCACCAGGCTAGACCACATGTACCAGTCGATCCTCCAGTGCGTGAGCGTCGTCGAGGCGATCGGGCCGCGGGCCAGCCCCCGCGTCGGTTTCTCGACCGGCCGCCGCGTGATGGAGGCCCACGCGCGCTGAAGCCTGCCCAACGATGTCCTCTGCTCCCAGACCCAGCTGGAGTACCTGACCACGAGCGCCACCGTCGCCTCGTAGACAGGATCAAACCTCGCGCTGCGCTGCGCGGCCAGGCATATCGTTGCGCCCGACGGGCTTGGCCGCGCCCCCGCCAGCCAGTTGGCCTCGGCCCGCAGCCGCTGCAACTCGTCGTTGGAGATGCCCACGACGCCCGCGACCTCCCCGGCGCTAGGGGGCAGCCCCGTACGCCACAGCACGATGACCTTGCGGCCAGCAGCACGCTTCACAGCCGCCAGACGCCCGCGCCGCCGCGCCAGCGCCTTCAGCCGCAGCTTGGTCCGCCGTCGCTGGATCCCGCCTTCTCCAAGGTCATGCCCTAGATTGCGGGCCCAGTGTAGCAGCTGCAAGTCGCGGGATCCCGCATGCTTCCTGCGCTCTGCGGCTAGGCCCTTGGCGAGGTCACGTAGCCAGACTTGGCGGGCTGCGCGATGATGCCCAGTTGCTTGGCCTCCTCGCGGAAGCGCGCGACCGCGGCCCACAAGACGCCGACGTTGCTGCCCGCGGCCCTGACCCACTGAAGGGCGACGTCGTCTACGGGGGCCCTGGGAGTGACGCCCGTGCAGCGCGCCCGCTCCAACACGCGGTGCATCCGCACCGACGCGAGCGCGCGCGCGCATCCAGCCAGCACCCCTCGGTAGGACACCATTTCGTAGGACGCCGAGCCGAACGCTTGCAGCCGCCCGGGCTGCCTGTAGAGCTCCACCAAAAGCCAGACCAGCGGCAGCGGCATCTTGAGCATCTGCGCCACCTGTATCAGGGCCTCGGGAATCACCGTCTCAGAGAACTTCCAGGTGTCCAGGGCAAGGTGGCCACCTGCTCCTCCAACGCGACCGCTACCTCGGTCGCGAGGTCCAGGTCGAATGCTGCATCCGACGACGACCTGCCCGCGCCGAGCCCCCAGATGTGGACGCCGGGGCGCTGCGCGAGCCAGCCTTTGGGGATGTCCGCCCGCGCCCTCGACCACCAGCGCACCAAATAATGCATGGGCGCGATGAGGCGGCGCCCTCCAGAGGGCTTGGGCGGCCGACGCATGGCGTGCCACGGGCGGCCCTCCGGCCACGCGCCCGAATTCTACGTGCGCATGATGAGCTGCGCGCGAACTTACATGCCGTCCTCGGACAGGAAAGACAGGGCACGCATGCCTAACTTGGCGGGCCCCATCGCCGTGCCCGTGGAGAATGAGAGCGCAGTCCTCTTCATCCTGTCGACGGTGAGTTCGGGCAGCGCACCCCGCTCCTCAATGTCCGCAGGCCTGCGAGCCTGCGGCAGCCCATGGCACCGCCGCACCTTTGCCCACGGCTGCATCTCCCGATCGCGCACCAGGCGCGGGCTCGCGTCCTGCATCTGGCTGTGCCAGGCAGTGGCCACCTCCTGCAAGTCCCTGACCTTGGAGTACCGATGGGCGCGGCCGTTGGCCGACTTGACCCACTCCTTTTGCTGCGCCGCGAGGGCCGCTTCATACTGACCGCTAGCGTGCTCCACGACCCTCGACGCCTGGCCCACGAAGCCGGCCTGCGCGAACATCAGCATCCGTTGGCCGAAAAAAGTCCTACACCCAGTGCGGCAGGAGCGCCAGCGTGCCGCGGCTGGCGATGATCTTGTCGAGGTACGCCGCCGCCTCCAGCAGGGGCCCCGCCAGCTTGTCAAACTGGGCCTCGAATGGCGGGCAGAGGAGACTGGCGCCGTGGAGTTGGCGGACCGCTTTGGCGACGCACGCCCCCCACCCCCATCCGGTGCCGAGCCCGCCTCGACGCCGCGCGGCGCGCCGCGGCCTGGCGACCGAGCGCGGTCCTGCGTCGATGGGGGTCGCCACTTGACAGCGACGAGGGTCGTATCCAGAGCGCCAGCCCTGCCCGCGTACTTGGCCCTGTCATGCCCGACGACGTCGTAGCGGCCCAGAAGCCTCTGCTCGATTGTAACCACCACGGCGCCCCATGCCTCTGGGGGGTGCTCTCGGCTGACAGCTGCGCGCGCCTTGGCCAGGGGCCTGCGGCGCAGGCCCCTGGCCAGTACTCGACGCCGCGGCTGCAGCCCACGGGCGGCACAGGGCCGATTGGCCTCGGGCCCCTGACCACCCGTACCTGCATCGGAAGGTCCTGCGCATGCATCTCCATCGCGACGGGCAGGTGCGGCTTCGTCGCGCCGTACTCGTTGACCCGCGGCCTGCCAAGCCTCGGAGCCATGTTGGCTGCGAAGAGGAAGTCGTCCAGCGTCGGCCAGGCCCCAGCACATGGTCTGCAGGTGGCATCCTCAGCCGCCGCCCACAGCCCACGGACCCCGAGGAGCTGCTGCACAGGAAACTTCTCGGGCTCCATGTTGAAGTTACTTCATGAGAACGGCCGCCACGTGCTGGTTGTCCGCTTTCCACCCCGCACTGTCGTGGATGCACGCGTAAATGGCGACAAGCCCTCCCGCCACTCCCCAGTGCACATGGGCGGCCACCTGGCGCGCGGCCAGCAGCACGGGGCTCTCCAGGAACGGCGGGCTGGTGACTATGATGTGCGAGCGCACAAGCACCGCCACCCTGCCAGAGGTGCCTGCCTCGCCGCGCGGCCCCTGGACCGCTGGCGCCCAGAGCCCCGCGTGCCCGTGGTCCAGCATGGCCTGCTGCAAGGCGGCCAGCCTGTCGTGGTCCCTGGCGTGATGCTCCTGGACCAGGAGGACCGCGGCCTCTGCCCGCTCGCAGATGCCCTCGAAGCACGGCGCCAGGGACCCCCCCGCCCTCAGGTTCGCCGTGAAGATGCTGCAACGGCGCCAAACCACGTGCTGAGGATCAGCTGGATCCTAGTAAGGCTGGAAGCCCCGCTGGCCAGCGCGGCGCAGCGGGCGCGCGTCTGACTCCCTCGCCGCCTTCGAGCTCCAGGCCATGCTTCCGCCGCCGCTGCTGGAGCTGCTCCGCCGACTCCTCCTCGGGCTGCCGGCGCGGCACGACGGTTGTGCCGCTGCCGCTTCCAGGCGTTGCTGCCTCGGGCGCTGGCTGGGGCTGCCCGTCCCGCTCTGCGCCATCACGCACCTCTCCTGCGGTACTGGCGAGGTCCTGGCTGGCGATGGCCTGCTCCTCGGCGGGAGCCTCCCTCCACGCGCCGCGCCCGCTTGGCCATGCACAACTCCGCAATGCGCAGGCCCAGCACGCCTGCCATACGCTTCTGTGCCTCCGCTGGCACTGGCTGCTCCTCGTTCGGGTGGGCCGAGAGCTGCTGCAGCACGACGGTCTCCAGCTCGCCCACCGTGATGCCGAACCCGCCGATGACGTCCTGCGCCATGGCCTGGCCCGCAGGCCGCGGCTGTGGAGCCTGCGGCGCCTGCTGCTGCAGCTGCACCAGCTCGGCCTGCAGCGGCACCTGCTGTTCCAGGAGGTCTGCATGCACCTTCTCCGCGCGCTCAACCTCCTCCACGGCCCGCCACAAGGCCTCCTGCGCCTTCCGTTTGTTGCCCTCCGCCTTCTCCAGGCGCTCGGCGCACTGCTTGGCCTTGTTGGCGATGGCGTGCGTCCTAGCGTGGGGTGGCTTGCTGGCGATGAGCCGCGCCTTGGCCTTCTCCAGCCTGGCGCGCAGTTCCTCCCGCGGCGCCGTGGCCCAGTCCGCCGTCTGATCCTTGATGGCGTGCATGCCCGACTCGCACATGTGGATCTCGGCGAGCACCGCCGCGTCGCCCGCACCAGCGCCTTCGCCGACGTCGACCTCCATGGCCTGCACCCCGCCGAGCGGCCCGCCAGCGCTGGCAGGCCCACTGGCCTTGAGCTGCTTCTTGAGGTCCGCAAGCTCGCGCTTCGCCTGGGCCAGCTGCACCGGGAGCGGCGGCCCTGCCCAGGGAGGGGCCTTGCCGCTGCCGCCGCCTGGCGCCGCACCCGACTTCGAGTTCGACTTGGCCGCCGCCGGGAACGGGACGTTCGCCCCGAAGCGCGTGGCCTTGGGCAGTTTGTAGCCCTGACACTTGACCGCCGTCCCCCAATTGACGACCGCTCGGCCCCCTTGGCCCGCGGCACGCCGCCAGCCATCTTGCACTCGTTGTCGCCCTCGCAGCGCCTCCAGTGCCCGCCAACGCCAGGAGCCGCCCGCGCGCTGGCAAAGGCGATGGTCCGAACCTGAGGGGGCAGGCCGCGCGAAACGAAAGCTGCCGCGGACTAGCGGTATCCGTTTGGCCCCCACGGGAACCGCACATCTTGAGCCAAAATGGCTACGGACGAGGAAAAGGAGGAGGAAGAGGAGGAGGAGGAAGAGGAGGAAGACGCGGAGGAGGACGCGGAGGAGGTGGACACGGGATGATGTGTGATAATAGACAAAACGAGGAGGCAAAGGGCGATCAGGATGTGGAGGAACAGGAGGGGGAGGTGGAGGAGGAGGAGGAGAAGGAGGAGGAGGAGGAGGAGGAGGAGGAGGAGGAGGAGGAGGAGGAGGAGGAGGAGGAGGAGGGGGGACATGAGGAGGAAGAGGACGTGGAGGGGGACGAAGACGAGGGGAGGAGGACGAGGACAAGGAGGAGGAGGAGGATGAGGTGGAGGGAGAGGGGGGAGGGAAGAGGGCATGGAGGAAGTGTGGAACCAGAGGGCGCGCATGGGATCCGGACGAGCTGTCGGGGGAGGGGGGAGGGGGGTGGGCGAGGAAGATCATAGACAGGGACAAGCATGGCGGCAACAAAAGAGGCCGAGGAGAGGAGCAACAAGCTGTGGGGGGGGTCGACGACGAAGACGGCAGTGCCTGGCGCGGCGGCCAGATGATCGACAAGCGGATGTGGGGGTCGCAGACGCCCCTGCGCCACTTCAAAGGCCTCGCCGAGGACTCGCGCCCGCTTCTCTACTGTTTTTGTGCCCTCGCTTGTGTCGTCTTCATCTCCATCATCCTTACTCCTCCTCCCCCATCCCTCTCCCATCCTCCTCCTTCCCCCTTCCCTCCTCAGTCGTCGTTGGTTAGCCGAGAGTGCGGCTCCGTCGCTTAAGGCGGGTGTTCGGCTGTATTCGGTTTGTTGCGACATTCCCCGACTGTGCCAATACCGTCTCTCCGCGCTCCAAACGCTCGGGAGCGCGCGTACGCGCGGGGGCAGGATGAAGGAGGGAAATGGGATGCAGAAGGAAAATTGCCAGGAGGAACGATGAACAAGAAAACAACGTCTCTCCACTCGTCCCGTCCTCCGTCCGCAGCCCAGTGTTTCTCTTGCCGCCCCCGGCGCCAAGGAGGGGAAGGGGCGGGGTTGCTTGAGGTTCCGCTCTTGGACTTCAGGCCTCCCGTGGCACGATTTGGACTGTAACTGCCGTGGGCGGCTCGCAGCGGGCGAGCGTGGCGGGCTTCCCACACGGGCACCCGCATCCTGTCCAATTGGGTGCAGGCGCCGGCGTGTCGGCGCATAAAGTTGTTCCGCAGGGGCTCGAAGGCAACTGCGCGTGGTGTTTCGCGGTCTGGGCCAGAGGGGCACCCTGTTCCAGGTGGGCGACGCGCGAGCGTGAAGACGGCCGCGTTTCGCGGTTCTCCTGGATGTGCGCAGTAAGTTGACTCGGCGCCTGCTCAGCCTCGCCGACCTGCCGCCCTTCAGGACATCCTCCGCAAGGTGGAGAAGAAGGATTTCGCCTGGGAGCGCTACTACGACCTGTCCAGCGCCGAGATCGGGGAGCTGATCCGCTTCCCAAAGATGGGCAAGACTATCCACAAGCTTGTCCACCAGTTCCCCAAGCTGGATCTCAGCGCGTACGTGCAGCCGATCACGAGGTCCTGCCTCATGGTGGAGCTGACAATTACCCCAGACTTTCAGTGGGACGCGCGCGTGCACGGCCGCGCGGAACCGTTTTGGGTTTTCGTGGAGGATGTGAACGGCGAGCAGATCCTCCACCAGGAGATGTTCGTGTTGAAGGAGCGGGGCGCGGAGGAGGAGCACACGCTGAATTTCACGGTGCCCATCACGGAGCCCTTGCCGCCTCAGTATTTCATCCGGGTCGTGTCGGACCGATGGATCAACGCACAGACATTGCTCCCCGTCTCCTTCAGGCACCTCATCTTGCCCGAGAAGTACCCGCCGCACACCGAGCTGCTTGATCTGCAGCCGCTGCCGCTCACGGCGCTGCGATACCCCGCGGCGGAGCAGCTGTACGCGGCCGCGGGCCTCAAGGTCCTCCGCCAGCAGCGGGGCCTGTTCCGCACCTGCTACCTGCTCCTGCTGCTGCTACCTGTCCTTGCTCTCGCTGCTTACTGCTGCCGCCACAGCTGCCCCTTTTCTTCTCTGTCATTATCGGTGTCCTCGTCCTCCTCCCAGCCTCTGATGCAGCTGCTCCTGCCGCGCCCCTCCTTCGCCCTCCCTCCTCCTCCGTCTTGCCTTCCGACTCCCTTGTCATGTTCCGGATGCTCTCTCTCCTTCCCTGAATCCACCTCATGATCTTGTGTTTGTGCTGCAGGTGATCCTCCTCGTCCTCATGCTGATGCTCGTGATGCCGCTGTTGTTCCTTCGCCTCCCCCTCCTCGATCCTCGAACCTGTCCCCATCTCCATCCTTTCTATCCCCGTCCTCATTCTCTCCCACACTTCCCCACCACCACCACCACCCCCCTCACCTCTTCCATTCCCCATCCATGTTTCCTCCACCCAGGCTCCTCGTATCTCTCTTTCCTCATTATTCATTTGTTCTAACCACCTGCACCCTCCTCTCACCCTCCTCTCTCCGCCATCGTCCTTCCTTCATCGCAACTCCTACCTGCTCCGTTGACTCTCCTCGCTCACTTCCTTCATGTCCTCCGCATTCCCGCTTCTCCCTGTTCTCTTATTCCTCCATCCTGGCTGCGTCGCCGTCCTCGTCTTAGTCCCCTTCCTCCTCCTCCTCCTTCGCCTCCTCCAAGTGGCCGTGTAAGGCTTCAAGACCTTTGCCCCACTTCAGAATTCACGAAACGCAAGTCGCAACGGCAGCATCCCGCCATGTTCATGCCTTCAGAGTGCTCAGCGGCGCGTCTTGGGCAGGTAAGCGTTGCCGCCTACAACCCTAACAACGGCACCCGCGGGCGCGCCCAGGATACCGATAGGACCACTCTACGGGTGATAAGGAGGTTGGGGGGGAGGGATAGGCGGTCGATATCTAGCTACCGATACGACCACCCTTCGGGTGATAAGGAGGTTTGGGGGGGGGAGGAACCAACGTCTCACTCGATCGGTCTCACTATCGATCTCACTATCGATCTCACACTCGGTCTCACATTCGGTCTTACTATCGATCTCACTATCGGTATCACAATCGATCGCATATTCGGTCTCAGTACCGATCTCACAATCGATCTCACTATCGATATCACAGTCGACTTCACTAATGATCTCGCAATGGAAATCACAACCGATCTCACTATCGATCTCACAATCGATTTCACTAACGATCTCGCAACGGATCTCACATTCGGTCTCACTATCGATACCACAAGCCCACATTCGGTCTTGCAGTCGATCTCACTATCGATGTCACAATCGATCTCGCAATCGATCTCACATTCGGTCTCAGTATCGATCTCACAATCGATCTCACATTCGGTCTCAGTATCGATCTCACAATCGATATCAGTATCGATCTCACTAATGATCTCGCAATGGATCTCACAATCGATCTCACTATCGATCTCACGAATGATCTCGCAATCTATCTCACATTCGGTCTCACTATCGATCTCACAATCGATCTCACTATCGATATCGCAATCGATCTCACATTCGGCCTCACTATCGACCTCACTATCGATATCACTATCGATCTCACTATCGATACCACTATGGATCTCACAATCGATCGCACTATCGATCTCACTATCGATCTCACAATTGACCTCAGTATCGATCTCGCGACGGGACACCAGCGGGACACCGGCGGGACACCGCGGGGCCCCGGCCGCCCGGAAGGGAATCATTTGGTCCGGCCGCGCCTCAGCCACACGAGACACCGGCGGGACACCGGCGGGACACCGCGGGGCCCCGGCCGCCCGGAAGGGAATCATTTGGTCCGGCCGCGCCTCAGCCACACGGGACACCAGCGGGACACCGGCGGGACACCGCGGGGCCCCGGCCGCCCGGAAGGGAATCATTTGGTCCGGCCGCGCCTCAGCCACAGGAGACTTTCTCTCGCCCGCCCACGCAGCTTCGCCTCGCCCGCACGGCACGCGCGAACACGAAACCGAAATCGATTTCCCGGTAGGGGGGCTCTCCGTTCCGTTTCGATCTCACCCCCTCACCTCCGATCGATATGCCGATTTGAATATATATATATAGAGAGAGAGAGAGAGAGAGAGAGAGAGAGAGAGAGAGAGAGAGAGAGAATGATAAATATGTATATATATATATATGCCCATATAACTTTACATGTATTGCGAAGGCCTTGCGGCCGATGCCGCCGACCCTGAAGGGGGACGATGAACGACGACGACGACGACGGCGACGGCGACGACGATCGCGAGTCCTTGTTGGGGCCTTCCCGGGCCCTCTTGGGCTGTCCTGGGGGGCCTTTGGGCCGTCTTGGGGCCTTCCCGGGCCATCCTGGCGTGTACTTGGGGCCGTTCTGGGGAGCTTTCGGAGGCAACTGGGGCCGACGTGGAGTGCATGAAGCCTGGAAGTCGAGCAGGCGACAAAAACATGGGCGATTTCGGGACCTCCTGGTAGCCTCTTGGAGTGGGGAGCTTGAAATGTGGGTTGGTTTTCCCCCTCTTCGGCCTCTCTTGGGGTGTTCCTGGGGCTCTCTTGGGCGTTTTCGGTCGGAGAAGGGGGGGGGGATCACGATTCGCAGGACGCTACCAGGGACCCCGCGGGATCTTCTCCTCCCTCTCACCCTCCCCCGGGACGTCCCCTCTCTCGTTGGGAAGGGATTGCAGTAACGGGGTCCCCTTCGAGTCGATTATGCTGTTGTTCGATTCTCCTCTGGCTGGAGCGTTTGAGGAGGTGGGCCGAGGGAAGAGGGGGGGGGGGGTCTGGGAGGCTCATGCAGGTCTCAGGGTGGTGCGGTTGAAAAAGACGACGAAGAGCGAGGGGGAAACAGAGAAGGAGGAGGATGAGGAGGAGGAGGCAGAGGAGGAAGAGGAGGAGGATCGAGGATCGGGCTTCGAGTCGATGTTTCATTTGTCATGGTCTTTTTTTGGGGGGCTCTCTGGAAGCCTCCGAGGATTTCTGGGGACATCCTGGAGGCGTCTTGGGCCGTCTTGGGGCCCTCTTGGGCCGTTGGGGGACGCTTTTGGGCGCCTCTTGGGGTGTCTCGGGGCGATATTGGGGGCCTCCTGGGCCGTCTTGGCGCGTTGGCAAACGTCAGAGGCAAGAGCGGCAGAATCCTGAAAAAACGTATGGAAATCTACGATTGTTGGCTTTTTGGGGCTCTCGTGGGAAACCTCCTGGATGCCTCTTGGGGCGCCTTTGCAGGCTTCTTGGGCCGTCTGGAAGCCGTAAAGGCGTCTTGGACAGATCGTCAGGCGAGTCGGGGTTCTCGTGAACTGTCTGTGGGGCAAATTTGACCGCACTTGCCCCTTTTTTTGATTTTTCTGAGCTCCGGGAATCCCAGGGAGAGCGTCGTATTTGACCCCCCCCCCTGGGACCCTCCTCCAGGACCCCCTCCCTAACCCCCCCCCTGGCGGGGGAGGGATCGAAGGGAAGGGGCTTCCCTTCGACTCCATTACGGCGTTCCTCAACGCTTGGGAAGGGAGGGGAAGAGGACGACAGCCACGACGACAAACGAATGACGGGCTGAGGCGGTCCCTGGGAAAGGGGGGGAAGAGGACGACAGAGACGACGACAAACGAATGACGGAGACGACGATTCGAACGGACGAAGCCCCTCACACACACCGACAGGCCCCGCTGATTGTTATGTGTATATGAGAGAGCGTGATCCACCGCCGACATCCAACCTTTTCCTCCCCCTTCCTCCGAAAATCCCCCCCCCTGCTGGAACCCCTCCCCCCCCCCCCTCCTCCTCCCGGCAAAACCCCCCCGTCCCCTAACCCCCCCCCCCCCCCCCCCCCCTCGAAAACCGGGGGGGGTCACTACCGGTTCGAACCCCTCCCCCCCCCCCCCCCCCTCCGGATCCGGAAAACCGGGGGGGGTCACTAGGGGTTGGAACCCCCCCCCCCCTCGAAAACCGGAGGGGGGTCACTACCGGTTCGACCCCCCCCCCACGCACCGCCAGCAAACGACTCCCGGTCCCTACCACCGCTCGCATGACATCCCCCACTGTTGTTCCCAGCACCACTGTCCTCACCACCACTGCCCCGCTGGTTCCACCACCGTCCCTATTGTCCCCACCAGTGCCCCCACCACTGTCGCACTGTCCCCACTGTTCCCACAACTGTTCCCACCACGGTTCCACTCTCCCCACTGTCTCCACGGACCCAACCACTGCCTATCCCCACTGTCCCCTGTCCCACTGACTCCTCCGCTGTCCCACTGAGCTGTCCCACTGTTTCCACCACTGTCCCCACTGTCCCCACCACTGTCCCCACTGTACCTCTGTCCCATTGTCCCACCGCCGTCCTCGCCGACGCCTTTACCAGTGTCCCCACCACCATTGTACCCTCCACTGTCCCAGTGTTTCCACCTCATTCCCACTGTCCCCACACCACTGTCCCCACCACCACCGTTCCCACCACTGTCCACTGTCCCCCCTGTTCCCACCATTGTCCCCACCACTGTCCCCACCACTACCGTCCCCACCGCTGTCCCACTGTCCCCCCACTGTCCCCACCACTGTCCCGCTGTCCCCTCACCACTGTCCCCACCAACACCGTCCCCACCACTGTCCGCACCCCCACTCGGTTTTCGAGGGGGGGGGGGGGGTTCGAACCGGTAGTGACCCCCCCTCCCTTTTCATGATGAGCTGGGGGGGGGGGAGGGGTTCGAACCGGTAGTGACCCCCCCCGGTTTTCCGGAGGGGGGGGGGGGGGTTCGAACCGGTAGTGACCCCCCCCGGTTTTCCGCCAGCAGCGGTAGAACACGCTCTTTCGTGTATATCGATCCACATGTATTGTGAGTTGTACGTGAATGATCTATGCGCGCTCGTAATTAGTTTTTCGGCTCACGCGCATGAGGCCAGAGGTTGGCATCGGTCTCTTCGCAGTCGGACTTGCGAGGGAGCTCGCTTTTCTAGCTTCGCTTTCCACTCGACACCAGTGCCCAGACTGCTTCTGTGACTGCCCTCGGCCTTCGGAGTGTCCGAAGGTACCCGACTGTGTGCGTCCGCTGCCGCTGGAACGTCATCCCGCGTGCGAGGTGCCGCCCGACTTCTTCAACAGGACCAGCTTCATCGCACCCACAGACGCCAGCGTCTCCCTTGCCAGTATCGGCCTCCTGGGAGTGCTACTCGGAGCAGCAGTTGGAGGTCTACTCACTCGGCTTTGCTGTCCTCGTCGTGTTGCTGCCCCTCGTCGTGGAGGGCTTGGTCGCGTTGAACAGTGATGGCGGGAGTCGCGGAGGCTCTGCCAGGTGGCCATGCCATCTACTGGTACGAAGGGGACGAATACGGTCATGAACGGATTTTGCTGAGGGAGGTTAAGTCACTGGATGACAAATGTATCTGGGTTGGGGCTTCGCCTGACTTCGATGTCTATGCGGAGGAGTGGAGGGCTACTGGAGATCGCGGGCCGATCAGAGTTGAAGTGCTGAGGGGCCGCACGGTGCCGAGGGGGCTACCGAGGCCCATCTACCGTTTCGAGCAGACGGTGCCCTGGGACAAGTTGCTGGAGCTGAGGGCCGAGGCGTTGCAGGTCATGGTCGACGAGGGGCTCGACGAGATCCCGCGCGCGAGAGGCGGGACGACACGTTTGCGATCAGGAACTTCCGTCGGCCCCGCCTCGGCGCGCGAGGTCCTGCTCCTCCTCTGCCGCAGCCTGTTGACGGTCAGGCTGACCTTGCCGCCGCCCCCGAGAGCGACGAGGCCTGGGTCGCGTCGGAGCCTGTCTTCGACGGGGACCAGGAGGTGGCATGGATCGGCACTCAGGTCGCTGAGGAGTCCGTGGCGCGCAGGCTCGGGAACCGCGGCTTCGCCAAGTTCGGCTCGGTCGTCGCGGCGCTCGAGCGAATCAAGGTGAACGACCTCGACGGCTACTTCTCGGGCCGCAAGACCCTGCTCCTGGTGGGCCTGGGTGGCACTCACACGCCTGACGAGCGTGATGGGGGCCCTGGCTCGCCCACAGGGCTCCAGGCCCTGCGGGGGGCTCTCGTGGGCCCGCAGCTTCTTGGCGCGGGTGAGGAGCCTGACTTGAAGGCGGACGAGCATGTTCGCACGCTTTCGGCGAGGTTCAATGCTTTCAACCGTAGGGAGCGCGTCTGGGTGGACTCGGTCAAGGAAATGGTCGAGGACGCCTTCTCGGACTGGCCCTTGGATGGTCCTCGCACGTTCCTGTGGCTGGTGATGTCGTTTGCACAGCTGGCGACGGTGCCCACGTTCTGGCTAGAGCGCCATCTCCAGACGGCGGGCTGGAGCGAGAAGGATCGCTCTATTCACGAGATGCGGGTGATGGCGGAGGTTTTTGAACTGGCTATCTCTCACGATCAACTTAACGTTGCTTCGCTCGCGGCCTTCGAGAGGTTGGGGCGGAGATGGCAGGCTATACTTGAGGCTCATGATGAACCCGAACTACGAGATTGATGATAAGTTCTCGGGCTACAACCGCCGACAACAGCTTGCGGCGCCTGCGCTTCGCACCTACGTGGCCGAGGAGGTGCGAGAGGAGGCGGAGATCGACAAACAGACTAGCAAGGCCAAGGCTCTGAGGGACGAGGCCAAGGTCGCCCTCAAGCGCGGGAAGTCCGCAGGGAAGGGCAAGGAGAAGGAGGGGGGCACAGATGAGTGAGGCCTCCATCCTTGCCAGCAAGACCGATGGTAGTGCGTGCCGCAGTCGCCGCGCGGCATGCGCGCTGACAGGCGAGAGCGATGCGCAGGGGGCGCGACAGGCGCCGCTGTTTCCGCTCGAGTTTCGCGACCACTCTGCTTCTCCGCCGACGCGTCTCTCGAGAAGGTACAGGCGGAGAGCGAACCTCAGGAGCCACCAGTCGCGTGAGTTCGGGGAGGTTTTGACGGGCCTCAACTGGCTATATTCCCGAGCTTCGAGCCCACTCGTTCGCCAAGGGGTGGCGAGCGAGATTCGCGATTTTGTCGCGGGACGAGTTGCCCAACAGCCGCCTGTGCCGCCTTTTTTGGATAAGAAGGGAGCCGTGCGCGAGCTCCTCCAGAGCAAGTGTGGTTATGGCCACACAGCTTCCACTGTCGTCGAGTTCGGTCGAGCCCTCGTCTCTCTGCCCGAAGGAGTCCAGGACAGGATGTTGCTTCAGGACTTGGTCTGTCAGGAGGACAGGGAGGCGGTGGTGAACTTTAGGGAGAGCATGATGAGGTATGTGAAGGAAGCGATGCAAATGAGAGGCTACGGCGAGTATATTAACCCGTATTTTGACCAGAAGTTTCGCACTCGACGGCACGAGTACGTTCGCTTTCTGAAGATGTTGCACGGTCGTGGTCTGATCAGGTGGTCGACTACGCCAAAAGAGATCGTCACCCCGTTTTTTTTTTCGAAAAAATGGATGGCAGACAGCGACTTATCATCGATGCGAGACGCACTAACCAGCTTTTCCGAGATCCTCCTAGTACCCTGCTGGCCACGCCCGAGAGTTTCGCCCGCTTGGAGGTGGAGGGGGGTGTTGAGTTTTTTGAGGCGTCTCTTGACGTGGGTTTTGGAACCTGGAGTTCATAGCTGTCGTTTTCTGGCTCTTGGGGATAATCTCGGTGTCACGCTCAGCTTTGCAAGATCCAGGGCCCGTGCTTTTCCTCTGCTGGCGCAGGTTCGGCGGGCGGCGGCGCTGGCGCTGTCGCGAAACCTCTTCGCGGCGTTCAGGTGGGCCCCGAGTGAGTTCAACAGCTCCGACAAACCTTCAAGGGGCCCCGGTCTGCATCGGGGGTGCGCGGTCGAGTTGAGTGTCGCTCCTGATATACGCCGTCTCGCTCGAGAACGGCAGGGCTCTGTAGCCGTTTTGGCCAAGCAGGAAGTCCCACAATGCTTTGCTTTTTTACTTGATTGGGCTCGACATGTCCTTGGTGAGGAAGGCCAAGAGAGCAGCTCCGACGGAGGAGAGGGAAGTTCGTGCGCTTCTTCGTCGCACGGACCCGCTGCCACTAGAGAAGAGGTGGCAGGCTACTTTACAACAGCGACGCGATCGCCTCCCCTTGCCCGTGCTGCTGGAGGAGGCGGAGAGGGACGCCAGCCGTCTGGGAGCTTCGGACGGCACGACCTGGGAGGAGGATGGCAACCCGCTCGTGCAGGATCGCGTGCTGAGGCGCAAGATCCACCAAGCGAGGATGGCAAAGGAGCCAGGTATGCAACACGTTTCGGTGCTAGAACGAAGCTCGGTAGGAGAGCGAACCTGGGCGCAATATCGAAAGCTATATCGAGGCCTGGCGGACTACGTCGACGAGCGCAAGCTGAACACCGACGAAGTGCAGGACTTCGACGCGGCCATCGTCGCCTTCATGACCCACATGTATATGCTGGGCTACGACGCAGGCATCGGCCAGAAGCTGATCGCGGCCGTGGTGTTCTTCCAACCCCATTTTGGCAAGCTGGGCGACCTTTCTCTTCCGCGAGCCTGGCGGGCTGCCAGGGGCTGGGCCAAGCTGGACCCTCCACGCAGTCGACAGCCCTTGACCCTGCCGACGGTCGCAGGGTTGGCCGCGCTGCTTGCCTACGAGGGGCGCCTGGGCATGGCCATCTGTGCGATCATCGCTTTCTGCACCTACCTGCGTCCAGGCTCTATGATGCAGCTCACCAGGGGCTCTCTGGCCCCACCTACCATGAAGGTCGACACCATGTGGCGTGTGCTCGCACACAGGTCAGACCTCCACCAGGTCTCGAAGGTGGGAACCCAGGACGACACCATCTTGTGGGTCACTCAGGGTTTTGAATGGATGGGCGAAGTTCTTCAGATTCTAGCCGTCGGAAAACGAAATGGGAGCCTGTGGCAGTTTACCTATCCAGAGGTAGTGCGTGAAATCCGTAAGCAAGGCCGACTGCTCGGCCAAGATATTGTACCTTACCAGTTGCCCATGCGGGCGCTTCCTGGGATATATATATATATATATATATATATATATAAGAAGCATCGCAACCTGTACGATGTGCAACGTCGTGGTGGTTGGATGTCTACCAAAAGTGCGCAGCGCTATGATAAGGCAGGCATGATGATGAAAGACTACGCCCTGCTTCCCCTGGCGCTGCGCTGCTGGTTGGAGGAGCAGGTAGACACGCTCAAGGACTCGATCCTCAGAGGCCGCGCGGTGCAGCCGCCGCCGCCGCTTTCGTTCAGTGCCCGTGGCAAGCGCGTAGCAACTCCTCCCAACACAGCAAAGTGGGTGACGCATCATGTTATGGGTGATATGGGTGAAGTATGCGCCGCCGTGCCTCTGCCCACCCACGCTCGTGTGCAGTCAGACTCCAGACGGCGCCGGCATCAGACACTAGGAAACTCAGAAACAGAGCGCGGGGGGATCATGTGAATTGTACGTGAATAATCTATGCGCGCTCGTAATTAGTTTTTCGGCTCCCCGTGGCCTTACCCAAGCCGTTTTCATTCCTTCATATCGGGTGAAGTGTGCGCCGCCTTGCCTCTGCCCACCCGCGCTCGTGTGCAGTCAGACTCCAGACGGCGCTGGCATCAGACACTGAGAAACAGAGCGCGGGGGGATCAGTATACTTATATTAACATATATATATATATGTATATGAATACACATGCAAAAGCTTCAATTCGCATAGAGATATACGGATGCCACACATATACATGTAGATCGCAGCGGGTAAACAGGAGTATATCAAGTTTTCAATATATATATATAATACATACATGCATGATTCCGATCTGCATGCTTACATGTATACACACGTTCATCTATCGATCAACCGCTCAATATATCAATCAGTCGTTGCATCAACCTATCATATAAAGATCTACATTTATATATATATATATATATATATATATATCAACCGATCTTTGAATCCATCAATCCATCCATAGATCAATATATGAACCTAAATGTCTACTAATCTGAATATCTTTCTACCTACCTACCTCACTATCTATATCTGTCTGCTCATCGACCTATGAATCATCAGGACAACCATCCGGACAACCATCCAGACAACCATCGGGAAGACCATTTGGACAACCATCGGGACAAACATCGGGGCAATCATCGGGGCAACCACGGGGACCACCAGGGCAACCATCGGGACATCCATCGGGACAACCATCGGGGCAACCATCGGGACAACCATCGGGACAACAATCGGGGCAACTATGGGGGCAATTATCGGGACAATCAGCGGGACAACCATCGGGGCAATCATGTGGACAGTCATCGGGGCAACTATCGGGACAACCGTCGGGGCAATCGCCGGGACAAGCATCGGGACAAGCATCGGGACAAGCAGTGGGACAAGCGTCGGGACAATTCTCGCAACAAGCATCGGGACAACCATCGGGGCAATTGCCGGGGCAGCCGCCGGGACAACCATCGGGGCAACCATCGGGACAACACACGCCGGGACAACCCGGGAACCACGATCGGCCGACGGGGGAGGGCGGCTCCTTTGGCAATCTATGGCTTTTACCCGTGCAGAAACTCGCTCAGTTTCGCCTCGCCCGCACGCGTGACACGAACCTGAGACGAATCCGATTTCCCGGTTTGGGCCGTTTCCGCTCACGCGTCCCAGCCGCCGATATTGGATGAGTTGCATGTCGCGACCGTTGTGAACCTCATTGTGGCCCAGGAGAAGGAGCTGCAGGGCACCAAGGGAAACCGTCGACTCTCTTCTTCCTAGGGCCATATCGAAAGATTGATATTAGGTGCCATGTCAATAAAGTCTTGTGGGCTGAGCACCTGGTGCACCAACGAGCTCTTCCGCCCCTTCAACTTTGTTGAGTCATATCGGTCCCGAGGGGGGCTGCAAAGACGAGTAATGTGCGGCAAACTGGAGGGGCAGGCGCTTCGAATGGCTTTCATGTTGTTATACTTTCTGTCCAGTACGCGAATCAAGGGTGAACAGTGTAGGTGTTTGAACTGATGCGAGCCGACCATAAGGTGGCTCTCACAAGCTCTCGATAGCTTGGCAGGACGATGGAGACCAGTCGTCACGACGGATCTCAACTCAGTCTTCACCGAGGGGAGTGAGGGAATGTTTTGACCTGTCGGTCATGGCGAAGATAAGAGACTCTCAGCGTTGTTGTTCAAACCTGTTCTTATCTGCACATAGTGAATGCAATGAGAGATACAGGTATCGCCTTTGTGGAATCGAACGGAACGACGCGAACATTATATTAGATTCCGTTACCGTATGCCTTGTTGCCGTCAGCGAGTTGGCGCGCAATTCTCAAAACGAGCATGGGGATATTTCAGCCGCGCAGATGGGAGTGACAGCGGGATCATATGCCACTGGGGGCCGACGTTGGCTGGTCGAAGAACATCACCCCCATGACCAAGGACGGGGAACAAGAAAATCGTCGCCCATCTACTGCGAGTGCAAGGCGCCTTCGAAGGCACCGACGACCAGGGTTCAATAAGGTGGTTCACGCCACAAACTTGGCTATCAGATGGCAGTGAAGGCGAATCAGCTGTTGGTTGAGGCCCCCAAGGCAGGCGCCAGGGCGACCTGCGCCACTTCAGAACGCTACGCGGAAAGCCACTCGCACTACGCGAAAGATCTGATGCACTTTCTACTGGAAAGAAGAGCCGTTCGCGACACCTTGTTCTGGGCTTGCTTTCAGGATTACGACAGCCGGCAGC